CTAAACCTGTGGGTCCCCAGGTGTTTTGGCCTACAAGTCCAAGAAATCCCAGACAGTTTACCAGGTGTTAGGATTTCTGGGACCCAAAGGTTGAGAACTTCTGGGTTAGGGGCATAGGCCCCCAATGAAGGTGGGAAAATCACAAATAAAAAGTGTTTTTTTAAATCTTAGACAACACCTCCCTAGTAACCATTAGGTTATCCCTTACAACTCTGTGATCAACTTCCTCTGGATGCCTACCATAGAGTTGTGCTAGAGGATCTAGAGATTGCTAAAGAGAGGTTCTCTTTAAGAACCTCTAGCTTCTCCAGCACAGCTATATAATCAACTTCTGTTGGAAGCAGATCATAGAGTTATACTGGAGATCTAATAAATTCTTAAAGAACATTAATGCAATTTGTGAATAATCAAATCTGCAAAAGTCAAATCCACAAACGTGGAAGGTTGGCTGTACTTAGATTGCTGATAATCTACAATCTTGGCCATCGTATTTTGCTTTTATTTGTTTACATGTAGAACATTTTGTATACACCAAATTTTGTAAAGGGAGCACGGAAATAAAATAAATCTAATAAGCCAACAAAGCACATGAAGTAAATTACAGTTCATCTTCCCTGCAATGTTTCATGGGTGGAGGATTTATCAAATGACATGGATGGTAGCCTGAGGAACCATATGCTTTATTTTTGTCTTGTTGCTTGCCTTTTCTACATGAGAAAAGATATACCAACTCTAGAGCAAGTGGGAGAAGACATAGAAGTGACCTTGATACTTTGACAAATGGATCACACATGGGGAAAAACACTTGATCTTTCCTTGGAAGGCAAGGAGTGAAATTCACAACACATTCAGACAAAAGACTTCTGAACTAAGTGCCCATTTTCTTCACAGTAGATAACAGTTTGCAGTGGCCCTGCCATTAGTCTTGAGAAAGAGAGCTGTGTCGCTGAACTTTCCCACAGACAATTCTGCTCATATAAAGCTAAACAAGCCCTTGATGACTGTTGAAATACACTTGGGGTCATGTACACTGTGAATGTCACTAACTTTCTTTCCAAAGAAAGCACCCTTAGGAGACTAAGATAGGGATGTAACAATTCTAGGTTTTAGTGTTATGAAGCCTAGAGTAGAGATATTTCCACCAAGTTCCACAGGAAACAGGAAATCAGCTGTTTCCAACATCATAGACAAGCTCATAAAGTCCTATTCAGCCAGGTATGTGGTTTCCCTTAGTGACCAAATGATATCCACTGAAATTCTCATTAAAGACCCTGCCCCTTATTTCACCTGGCAAGCCTAACTAGACTATAGTTTATTCTTAATCTTAAAATGCATCATGTTTAATGATGACTCCAATTTCTTGACAATCAATAATAATCAAGAACTAGATTATTAATAGGAGAGGTACACATAGCACCTAATACAATATTAATTGTGCAATGCTACCTGTTAATTCTTAAGAGACCTCATTATTGACATTTTTGTGACGGATGATGATGGATGTAGATAGATAACCTTGAGGGCTCCTTCTGCTAGACACAGTTGGTCATACATTGTTGATGTGTGCCTTCAAGTCATTTCTGACCCATAGTGACCTAATTCCAGGGTTTTTGCAAAAATCAACTTCAACTTAAAATCACACCATGGTACAATTTTTTTAAAAAAATGAATGAGTAAAACCACACTTAAATTAAAAGAAAAAGAATCCAAAATAAACACACAGTTGTGGTATACAATATTAAAGGCATTCCCAATAGGGGTAGAGAAAGTAGCAATATACATTCCCTAAAGCAGTGGTTCTCAACCTGGGGTCCTCTGATGTTTTTGGCCTTCAACTCCCAGAAATCCTAACAGCTGGTAAACTGGCTGATATTTCTGGGAGTTGTAGGCCAAAAACATCTGGGGACCCCAGGTTGAGAACCACTGCCCTAAAGCCATTTTGAGTTTTCCAAGGATTTCCACAGCTACCCATTTTTCATTATATATATATGTGTGTGTGTGTGTGTGTGTGTGTGTGCATGTATAGTAAGAGCAAAGAAAGATGGAATTCTCTGTTATCAATTATTTTATTTATTATTTTTGGTTGTATTGATTTATTACTCTTATTAATAACATTTTATTGAAAATATTTTATTGATAACATTAATAAAACATTTTTAAAACAGTAATTCCATTCTGTTCTGCCTTGGTCAGATCACACCTGGAATACTATGTCCAATTCTGGACACTGCAATTGAAGGGAGATGTTGACAAGCTGGAATATGCCCAGAGGAAGGCAACTAAAAAGATCAAGGGTGTAGAGAACAAGGCATATGAGGAGCGGCTTAAAGAGCTGGGCATGTTTAGCCTGCATAAGAGAAGGCTCAGGGCAGGATTTCATTTCCGGGGGGGGGGGGTGGGGGGGGGTTTGGGGGGGGCTGAGTCTGAGTGAAAGAGGGTCTAGCCTAGCAAACCTTTTGTATCATTACCCCAATCCCCCCATACATATGGGATATATTGAGAATGGTGATCAAATCATGATATTAATAAACATAACAGTTTAAATAATGCACCAGTAAGGCCTTTTCGCGAACCACCATGAGAATTTCGGGGGGGGCTGAAGCCCCCCGAGCCCCCCCCCCCCCGGCTACATGCCTGGCCCCGGAAGAGGCCATGTATAAATATGTGAAGGGAAGTCATAGGGATGAGAGGAGCTTGTTTTCTGCTGCCCTAGAGACTAGGATGCAGAACAAGAAATCAAACAAGGAGATTCCATCTGAACATTAGGAAGAACTTCCTGACTGTGAGAGCTGTTCAGCAGTGGAACTCTCTGCCCCAGAGTGTGGTGGAGGCGCCTTCTTTGGAGGCTTTTAAGCAGAGGCTGGATGGCCATCTGTTGGGGGTGCTTTGAATGCGATTTTCCTGCTTCTTGACAGGGGTTTGGACTTGATGGCCCATAATGTCTCTTCCAACTCTATGACTCTATGACTCTTCAATCATCCATTTCCAAGTAGTAAGATAAGTGGAGAGGAAGTGAAAGACTGCAAAAAGTGTGGTTGTATTCGGGGTCACACAGGTTCTAATAGGCTTTAAGGTGTAGGGAGTATTTTTGTATGGTTTCAAACATTATAATTTTCTGTACGAATTTAAGGCAAAATGTTTGGCCTTCAAATTCTAAACCAGTAAGAAGGCAAATCAATTAAATGGTTTAAATTTTTAAAGTGCATCTACACTGCACTATGTTTATTTTTTATTTATTTATTTACAGTTCTTATATTCCGCCCTTCTCACCCCGCAGGGGACTCAGGGCGGATTACAGTAAACACATATATGGCAAACATTCAATGCCAGTTTGACAAACAACATTTAACAGACAAAGGCTATTTAACTTTTTTTTTTTTTCTGGCCGCCAGGGGAGCTGCTGCTTTTCATCGTCCATCAACGACACCGATGAAGTTCTTCCGCGTTCCACATTCCCCGGAGTCTTCTTTCTTTATGGCCTCATAAATTAGTTAAATTTAGCCTCCCACACAAGGTGGTACCTTATTTTCCTACTTGACAGATGCAACTGTCTTTCGGGTTGCAAAGGTCGACAACGGGCTACACAATGGCTGGACACCCACTCCAGCCCGGGCTGGCTTCGAACTCATGACCTTTTGGTCAGAGTGATCTTAATGCAGCTGACACTCAGCCAGCTGCGCCACAATCCCGGTGTTTGGTGTAGGGGCCGCATTATCCTGAGGCATCCAAATGATACCTCACAATAATGCAGTTTGATCCAGAATCCATAAATTGTTCATTTAAATAAAGTTCACTATTATCTAGTTTCCTGCTTTCATGGTAAGTTCAAGAACATTTCCTCATCTATAGAGAGGCCATACTATATTAATCTGTATTGCCTACTTGTTTCATACTGTAACATCTAGCAAAATTAATTTACTAATGGTCAAGTCATTAGGACCTTTTTCATGGCTGCTTCAAATGTCTCTGCATGCCTTTTGTGAAAATGTTCATTGCCATTGGACATTTATGGACTGAGAGGTGGGCTTTGAGGGATGGTCATTGGGATTTTAGTGTAGATGTGGAGTTTTAATAGTTTAATGGTCAACGGTTTAAATGTCATAGTTTATTTTTTTTCATTTTTTATATTTTAATGCATTTACATTATTTTAATTTGCATTGTTTCATATTTATTCTTTGCTGCCTTGATCCCCCTATATTGTGGGGAAAGGTGGGATATAAATAAACATATAAAGTATCAGTCATTTAATACACTGCCATTCTAATATTTCCTGCAGCACTGATTATGCTATATCTTGAACTTATTCTTGTAGTCCTTTTTTGGACTACAAGTATAGTCTACTGTATAGAATGATTTCACCTCACCTCTGACTTTTTTATTTATTCAAGAAAAGCCTTAATTTAAACAGAATATTGTCATTTCTAGTTTTTAAAAAAGACATCTCTGTGCCTAAAACAACATGGGGAAGGGACCCATCTGCTATGAAGTTGCCTTTCACATCTCTTAGGAGTTTTTGGGCTTTCTGAGGGTGGAACAGGTTGTTGTGCATGTAGCCCTCCAAGACTCTATGGGCAACCAGTGCATTTCCTGATATCATATTAGTTACCCCTGATGTTCATTATTTCCATCTTACTGTGATACATTTTCTCCCATTCAGATTATGAAATGTATACCTGACACAGATCTCTTGCTCTACAACTTGCTCATTCACTTCATAACAGAATGGGAAACAAAAGAATAACCTTATGGTTGCCCATTACAACCAGAATGAAGTTATATAAACTAGGAAGAGGTCATACTGTTTACACCTCTCTGTGTGCCAGTTATTTCCATCCACCCCATCTCTCCAAAATGTAGGAGGATTAATATTTGCAAATTGAATTGGTTTTGGCATTCCTTAAACACAGAGCAAGTTACAATATACAAGAGCAACACATAAAAATCATGATGGTGGCATGCAGACACCAAAATCGTCAAAATTTGCAACCTGCAATAATACCTTTGGTTGAATTGCTCCAACGGTTACCTTCAGAATAATGGGATAAAGTCAAGAGATTGACACATGAACCACCGGCACCAGATCCAAAAACAGTTATTCTCAGCGGATCGCCCCCAAAGAACCCAATGTTCTCACTTGTCCACCTCAAAGCCTGAATGAGATCAAGAAGCCCATAGTTTCCTTTAGCTGCTTGATCACCAGTGCTCAAGAAACCTGCAAGTGAAAACAGAAGAGAAAAAAGAAAGAATGAAAAAGGATTTAGAGCATGTTATATTTCAGATTACGCTTGTTGTGCCGTTATCATCGGACGACTGCTTTCAAATATAACAGGAGTTAAGCGCTATGTAAATACATTGTGTTCTTTATCCACTTGGCAACAATTTACAAGTGACTCATCGTTCCCACTACAAATCCTTCGGTGTTTATTATAATAACGTTATGCATGATAAACAACTGCATGCATTATGCAGGCACTTTTGAGGAAGATAGCCTGCTTTCAGCACAAAATGAAATGCTAACTTCTCCTGCAATCTGTTTCTCAGTGTGTGTGTGCAAGGCCCCATTTCCAAACTAAGCAGGCCCATCGGGATCACTTACAATACACAGCAAGGAGGAGGCAGAGGTATACCTAGTATAGCCTTTTTCTTGTTCTGTTGTTAAAATTCAGCAATTGATTGTCATCTATCCAAAGTGGGCTGATATTCTCCACCAAAAATGGCCCACTAGTAGATCACCATTTCTTTTCTGTCTACTTCTGACTTAGCACTTTTATTTGTATCAGCAATTGATAGGGGAATGGAATCAAAAACAAGTAACAACAAATCATTTCCCTTCATCCATAAACTTGGAATGATTCAAGCAATGTTAACACCAGCTGGCATTTTAGCATGTTTTTCTTATTGACCAGGAAAGCAGAAAGTAAAGCAAGCAAAATGTGCATGCCAACACTAATTTTGCACTTCCTTCATACAGATTTTTTTATCGCTTTCCTGTGTTTTTTTGGGGTGTGTGTTGTATTTATTTTTCAAATTCTCTCACTTGCAAACTCTTTTGAAGTTTTAGAGACATGGTGGATACTGAAAACAAAGAAAGGATCACCACATTTCAAATTAGCTAATAAGTTTGCTGAATTAAAAATGCAATTTTCCCAGGATCAATCAGAAAAAAGTTTTAAAATTGGAATTTGAGCCATATGTACAAAATATCAAATTGTATGATGTTCCTATGTTTTCAAAGTTTCTTGTCCTAGAAATAACTTAGTGCTTTTGGTTCAACCTTCTTTATTGGTTCTGAACATCAGAATCTTTGATTTTATTCAGGTTTCTGGTCTCCTTTCCTTTACTTTCCTTCTCTTCTCTCTCCCTGTCTTTCTCATTTCTCTTTTTCTTTTAGAAATATTTGTTGTTTATCCCTGTTTGATAAGGTGTTTTGATAAGGTGTTATTTTTTTCTGCCAATCAGATTTGTTTACTAATTTAAGCATTTGACCACTAAATGTTTAACTTTTAAGTTTCATCTTAGAATTGAAGAAATATAGTATACAAAAACAGGTGGGAAGTGTTTCTAGGGTGTCACAAATTTGAGATCCAAAGGTTGCATGTAGACCAAAAACCATGAAGTGCCCATTCCTGCTTTTCAGATTTCCTCACTGATAAGACAGGTTTTGGGGTGAATCTCTGCACAAAAGTTCTTATCTTTTGCAAAGGACATCACACACTATATATAGGGTTAGATCCAGTTATCTAAACTACAATAACAATGAAATAAATGGGACTAGGGTTAGTAATGAGCAACAAGCTCCATTAATTGGAGACTGAGCCAAAGCAAAGCTAACAATGGAATTCAAAATAACAAAGATATATTGTGCTGTTTTGTTTTACAGTTTGCATATTGTCTTTTAGCTTTAACTGTATACATGGTTTAATTGTTTTAATTTTTTATGTTTTTTCCTGTTTATTGATTTTGCACACTTTTAATCTGTGTTGTTTATAATATGTTGGGAGGCATCTTGAGTCTCACTTATCCAACATAAACTGGCTAGCAGAATATAAGGGAACATGTTGGATAGTAAAGAGGGATTAAGGAGAAGCCTATTAAACTTCAATTTATATTATGATTTTACAAATTAAGCACCAAAACATCATGTTTTCCAACAAATCGACAGAAAAAGCAGTTCAATGCGTGGTAACATTATGTAGCAATTACTGTATTTATGAATTTAGCACCAAAACTTTGCAATGTATTAAAACCGCTGTGGCTCTGGACAGGAGGCAGACAGCGTTAGATAATTCAAAATGTTGGATGAGAGAAGATTGAATAAACGAGACTCTACTGTATAAGTAAAATTAATGAAATAAATAAATAAATATTTTGTACCTATTGCACAATGTCTGCCATTGAAACCTATCAGTCATTTAGTATCAAACCTATAGCATCATTTTTGCCCTTGACATTCCAGTGTCCTCAAGCACAGTTCTTTCTCTTTCCACATCAAAAGAAATACCACAGTGAAAGAGTACACTTGTACACTTGCTCCCCTATATCCACTAATTCAAGCAACCATCACTTGAAAACATTCTCCTTTCTGCCACCATCCCATCCCCAACAATCCTAAACGCAAATTTAGCTTTTGCCACTTTGTATAAGGGAAGCAATTTTATTAAACCATTGTACACAATGGGACTTGAGCATCCACTGCTTCTGGTATCCAAGGGGAATAGGGGTCCTGGTCTTCAATGACTAAGATAAGACTAATATCAATGTAAACACAGTAGATTCCAAAAGCCTGCAATCGATATGCTATTCTCTTGTCCCTGGTGACACCAGTCATTGACAGCTTCTTCCTGGTCATATAAATCTATCCTTTCTCCTTGATATTAGATTCTATTTCTCTAAAAATCTCTGCAAACTAAAGAATTGTGGAACATTAAAAACAGAGCATATAGGTAAGATTGCAAGTCTTAATTAATATCTCTAAAATCAAATCCATACAGACTTTCATCCGTCAGTGTAGTACATTTTCTCCTCCTTCACTTTAGTTCCAAGCACCACCTCAAAACTGACTATATACTTTCTCGCTTTGGGGTGCACGGGGAACTGTAGTGAAGAGGGGCCCCATCCTCCTCAATTTCTTTTTGGAAGGACTTTCATCAGCTCAACCATCCATTGAATTCTGACCATTATATTTAAATACACACAGAGAAAGACACATGAACTTAAACCTCTGCCTTTGTTCATGTGAGCAAGCTTAATATAGTTACAAATTCTTACCAGATTTCAAATTGTCTCTCATCTCTGTGTTCTATAGCATTCAGTAGCTTAGAGACTCTTTCTTATGCTATTAGCAAACATTGTTTAAGAAGAGCAGCTATAAGCTGCAAAAATTGCAAATGTCGATCTTTAACCTTCTAGTTCATCAATCAAGCAGAGGAGCACTTGGATCAAATCCCTCAACTTTTCCAGAGGGCATCTGGCTACAGGGTGCTTCAGAAAGACCAAAAATGTCAGACCTTTCATTAATTTTTAAAAGGAGTACTTCTGTTCATAACTACGTTTAATTGCAGAAAATGAGGAAACAACCTTTAATTATGATGAGGAGTGGACAAAATTACCATTCTAATCAAAAAAGAAGATGGCCTATCTGCAATGCCCTTTTCATACTGGGTATCAGTGATTGAATCTTATTAACAAACCATAAGGGGGCAGGGGTGGGGGAATCAAGAAAGAAAGGGAATTCTTACAGGTACATCATCGCAAACTATCTAGATAAAATACTTAATCACAAACATATTTTATCCTGGACCACTCTGGAATTTTGAAAAGTTGGAATTATATATAAATGTTGGGAACAAGAAACACAGATGAATTTTAATTTTAAAATATACCATAGGGGTTGAACAGAAGTGGTTCATTTAATGCTTGTGATGCAAGTTGGATATTCGCATAATTTCAAAATGACATGCACACATGCGCACCTGATATTACTTCATGATGCTTTTCATGCACAATATTTATACAGTCTGCTTCCAGAGATCTACAAGAACAGCCACAACTCAGGGATTAATCGTATCCAACTAGGCAGGGTGCATCTATAGGCAGCCCTCCAGATCTATGGATTCTGGATTGACCGATTCAACCATCTATGGTGTGTGTGTGTGTGTGTGTGTGTGTGTGTGTAAGATACCAATTAAAATTTATAAAAATACAGTATGATCCCTGTATTCACAGGAAATACATCCCTGGACTTTGTGCGGATATGCAAATAGTAACTATAATAGTAAACTCTATTGAAATGAAGGACTACTTCCCCAAAATGCTATAGACTTGTGCTAGAGAATATTGAAGATATTTGTAATGTTTCTTTTCAGCCTTCTCTTATCAAAACTGAAAGCACCCATGTCCTTCAGTTTTTCCTCATAATCATAAGCATCTTGGTTGCCCTGCTCTAAAATATGGGACTTTGAAGGTTGTGTCTATGTGGGACAAATAAAATGGGATTTGCAACTGCTGTGGGTAGACCACAAGATGTATGACTGGATTCCAGAGGTTAATACAAAACAAAGGTAAACAGACTTTCCTCTGGATCTTCCAAGAGTCTCTAGTACAGGCCTGCACAACCTGTGGCACTCCAGGTGTTTTGGACTTTAGCTCCCAAAATCCCTGATCATTGGACAACTGGCTAAGGCTTCTGGGGGTTTGAGTCACAAACACATGTGCAGGCATGTGCTAGTATGATCCAGGTGATTTTTTGGAATAGACAGCTGGATTGTCCACACGTCCAAAAGACCCACGGTATATTATAATAATTAAAAACAAAGTCAAATGATGTCAATATTGTCCAAAATGTAACATTTTCTAGTTAAAGCCTCCTATCCACATATTGTATTGTACTAAAAGGTTGACTTTTTATTAACAAGTCCTGTACAAGGAAGATTGCTATCCTTACATTTTAATTTGAAAGAATGTAATTCATACCCTCCTGAGGTAGAAGACACCTGTTTAGGAAAGTCTGAATAATGTGCTTCAGAAAACCTTTGCCCTATTACATACAGGAACAAAACTGATTGTACATAATTATGTTGATCCTCAATGGTACAGAAGTAGCCTGACATGCTGTTATATCATTTTATTAGATGCTTAGGCTGACTTATTCAATAGACAGTTCAAGCCCAAGAGGTAATATTTCATTACTTTTAAGGCAATATCATCAATTTT